TAACTTTTGCATACGAACTCCGATTTAGATGTTTCTTATATCAAAATCGATTGTTTCGACGAGACAAAGACAATCTGTGTAAAAACGTTTCTCATATCAGGCCATCTTGGGGCGTAATCAGCCGAACAGTGTTCTGAATACAAAATCTGAATACTTCGAACACAACTTCGGCCTTAGAAATGAGACCGGATGGCTATGACCCAAATATCAAAGTTTCTCCTTTTGAAGATACGGAGCTTTCTCATATTCAACACTTCTCCATTTAAGGCCATCTTAATTAAGTTCTTGATCGTGCCAAAATCTGGTGTCAACAACCATCCAACCTTAGCCACATACATTTTATAAACGGCGGATTTCATTGAAACTAGGATAATTTGTACATAAAAACTGACGATATTTCGTCCGGTGAACTAAAAACCTAAAATAAAACCCTAAACTATCCTATACTTGACGGTGACCTCGTAGGCCATGCCGGGCTGGCCGGCGGCTCCTCCTCCGTCATCGTGGCCCGACCCGGCGTCGCAGTCTTCGTTCTCAGGCTTAGGGCGACAGAAGGTGGCGGCATCACGGCAGGGCTTCCCAGTGGCTACCTAACGCTCGCGGATGATCCTCTTCGCTTCCTCCAGCATCGTGCGTAGTGCGGTCACGCCCACCGAGGACGTGGGTTGGAGGAGAGGGCAGCGGTTGTTGGGGGAGGCATCGTTGGCAGCATCGATATCGGCGATGGACCATTCCTCACCGTACCTGGCCATCTCCCCGTCGAGGCGGTGGAGACGGTGCTTGGCCGTCTCCGACGTCGTCACCGAGCGGTCCAGGGCCCAGGCATACGCCAGGTCCGGGTCCGCCTCGATGTGTGCGGGGGGGGCGTCTGAGTTCACGAACTTGGACCAGTGCGCGGTGTTGCGGCTGTCCCCCCGACGCTGCTCTCGGTCAGCGTACTCCTACGCCGTCATGGCACTCCGGGAGGACGAACAGCTGTAGTTGCTCCCGCCACTGTCGAGGTAGTGGAGAAGGTGACCGCGCGCCTTGGGCAGGGGCGGCGGCGCGCGACGCTCCTCCTTGACGAAGCACTGGGGCGGCGGCGAGAGCCACTCCTTCACACAGCGTCTGATTTGGACGTCGCGGCTACGCAACGGCGGATAGCATGGATGGGATCCCGACTCCACTTTCACGGGGAGGAGTGCCCCTGTGGCGGAGCCGGGCCGTTGATGCGGACGATGGAGTGACGGAGCATCAGCTCCATCTGCTCCTCGAACTCCGTGTTGGTGGTGGCGTAGACCTGGCCCGGCACCGCCGTCGCGGACTTCGGCGATGGCGGTTGCTGGTCCTCCTCGTCGTCGGAGGAGATGACGACATCCGCCCTCGTTGAGTCGTCGCCGGCCGATGAGAACGATGGGCGCAGAGTTCAAGCGCAGCATCGCCACGATCCGCTAGATCCAGCCCTGGAACCGCCTATCGGCGCCGACTCCCAGGACTTGCCCATCATCGGAGATGTGGAGGGTGATGGGCGGGGAGGGGGAGGAGAGGAGGAGGTGGTGGAGGAGGAGGAGGATGCATTATGGACGATACCAAAGCGCGGCTTAATAGCCACGACCAGGCCATGCGAAGGGTCGGTCAGCCGCTTCAATGCGGCGCAGCGGCCGGAGTTGGTTCATCGGGAACCTGCGCCCGCATTGAAGCGGCGGCTGCCGAGAGGTCACGTCAGTCAGCGTCGTCCTCCCTTCCTCGGGTCACATCACGGTATCAATGCCGGCCTCTACGTGCTCTGGGCCGACATGAATGTGGCGCGATAAGCGGCGCGTGCATCGGAAGGAAAAGCGCGGGAGGGGCGGGTGAGGGTTTTTTGGTGGGCCAAGGCAGTCAGAAGCGGGCTTGGGATCGGTCCGGACTCCCGCACCCCCTCCCACATTTGTCTTTCGGTCTGCGGAAGAAAACATGTCCAGAGCGCATTGCGGACCGATACATAACCGCGTTGGATGGCTTCCACGGTCCAGACAATTGAGAGAGGTTTGAGGGTCGACGTTGGAGATGCCCTTAGAAATGTGTGCACCCCTTGCCCATTAGGGATTAAACCCTGGTTTTATCAATGTGGGACGACGGTCCCGTCAATAACGAGACATCTATGGTGAATTTGTCAATTTTAAAACTCCACAGTGAACCGAGCCTTGCTCATATGGTTAGGTTTTTTGTGGTGAAACTAGTCCAGCAGAGTTTAAGTCCTAGACATGGCATTGGTGGTCGCATTTTGGAATTCTTTCAGGCTTTCGGTGATGCTTGTTCAGTGAGAGAAGACGTTTCCGTCAAACTACGAATGCGCCGATGATGGCTTCATTAATCTCAAGATGATTTATCGACTCAGTCTATTGAAGGTACTCATAGAGATAGAGAGTGTGTTAGTACATTCATAGAAATGAGTATATGTGCTTCTTTTTTTTGAGTAACTGAAACGAGTATATGTGATTATGTATGCGTTTGTACTGTCTTAAACAAAAAGGCCTCTGCCTTCATGCGCATTAGGAAGGTAATCAAGATAGCCCATTTTTCCAGAGAAAACACGCTCGAGAGATCTTCTCACGGGCCATTATTTTCTTTTTTCTGAATATAGGATCACGGGCCTGGAGGGCGGAGATGGTTACTTTCTCGTGGGCTATCTCTCTCACTCTGTAACGCCGGGCCTTTTGTTTCTTGCGCGGTTTTTCACGTGGGCTCGGAGTGGCACTCCACCTGTCCTTACCATTTGTCGGCAGTTCTCAACCACTTTTCTTCCATCGACACCAAGAAAATATTTGGTGCATCGGAGTTTCTGATGCTACGGACGCACCAAACTGACCTTGCGTTTTTAAAATGTTTAAAAAATTCTGAAAAAATTAGCACATTCGCACAACATCAATGTAGGTTGTCATAAAATTTCAAGTCAAACTCGAAACATAAATTGTAAAGCAAAAACAACAAATTCAACATTAAATAGTACGTAACGTAACTTGGGCTTTAGATTTGACCCGTTATCATACTGATGTCAAATTTGTCATTTGTGTATCTCAAAAAATGTTTCAAATTTTGATACGAAAATTTATAACATCATACTTTGATGTTGTGTTAATGTGCTAGTTTTTTTTCTTCATATTTTTAAGATGTTCTATGGCATCCGGTGCACCGGTAGCATCACAAGTGCGGGTTTACAGGATACATCCCCATCGACACCAACCACCTCGGAGTACTTGGGACCAGTGTTTTAAATAGCGGACTATTGCCAAATAGCGGCGGACCTCAAAATCAACTATCGCGGAGTTATAGCGGGGTATAACAGGCTATAGCGGGCTATTTGTACATGGAACCATTTAGCGGCACCCTGCTGACAAGGCTATATAGCGTGCTATAGCGGAGTTATAGCCGGCTATTTAAAACTTTGCTTGGGACACACTTCCGTATTATCACATCTGGTTCAACATGGTTTCTCAAAAAAAAAATCATGTGTTCTCTCTAAAAAAAATCTGGCTCGACATGTAAAGAGGGATCATCCCACATCATAGAATATTTTCTTTTATTCAATTTTTTTATCCAATTCATTTGAGTAATAATTTTAAAAATCGAAAAATGATTTCACCCTAATGATCTTTGTGAGATCGTCCATTGCCTCCGTGGCCGCCATATATGTTTTTAATCGGACGCCTCCAGAGCAGCCTCCACTATAGTACAAATTTGCAACTTGGCCCTTGTTGCGATCCATTTACCCGGAGCAAAGGTTCTGCTGCAGTCCGACCAGATGCGAGGCAACGGTGACCGCCTGGGCGAGGGTAACGACGATTGAATTCCGTGCAGCAGCAACCGATGGTGGGGAGGTTACTGTTGGGACAATTAACGGTGGTGAGGCTAGGCGAGTATCAATGGTGGCGAGGGTATGCATTCATACAGGTGTGGTTGACCAAGGCGCTGGCGTGGGACTGGTTGCGGGTCACGGGGGCGTTGGCTTGAGGCGGCCCCGACCAAGGAGGGCGAAGGAGGTGGCTTGGCAGTGGCAGCTCACCGGATCTGAGCATGGCGAGGTGGCGGAGCAGAAGTTGCAGCGGCGAGCAGCGTTGCGCGCAGGAGGCAACGCAGCCGAGGCGATGGAGGGCGGATTGTTGTCGGAGAAGACAAGCCCCATGGCAGACACGGCCGCGAGCGGAGATGTTTCTTTTTTGCAACAAAGGGTATGTGACAACTGCAACAAGGCTCTTGTTGCAAAAATGTCCTACAACTTCACAAAAATAATAATCATATTGCAATTGCTACATTTCTTTTTGCAGCGTTGCAAAAATGTCCTACAACTTCACAAAAATAATAATCATATTGCAATTGCTACATTTCTTTTTGCGGCGTCTGCAATTGGATCCTGTTGCAATTGTAACGAGGATCTTGTTGTAACGGAAAACAAAAAAGAGGGACTATACGGAGTGAGGCGTTTTGGCTCCAGGCTCATCTGCATCCACGCTGAATAAAAAAATCAAAATAAAATACTAGAAAAATTCAAAAAATTCCAATTTTTTTGGCATGATAGATAATTTGATGCGTGATGTTCGTTTTAAATTTTAAATCATTTGCACATCCGAGTAGCTCTCAGTAAAAAAGATAAATTTGGAGTATGCTAAAAAGTGTACTGTGCATATACTGTTCTGACCCACTTTGTCTTTTTTAGAGCTCTCAAATGTCCAAATACTTTGATATTTGAAGCGCACCTCACGCAACAAATTATCTACCTTGCACAAAGAATTTAGATTTTTAAATATTTTTTTGAATTTTTTCTGAATTGTTTTTTGACCGGGTGCAGATGAGTCCGGTCTCAGAATTGTATATTCGGACTATACGCATTGCACTCCACAAAAAAAGAAGAAGAAAAATTCTACACTTTGGGCTCGACCCCGACCGTGCCATGTACCGACCGAGCCAAAGCCCGACCCGTCGCGCTCCCTTTTTGTACTACGTTTGCCTGCCACCTCCATGAAACCCTAGGTCGTCAGACAATGGACAACCACGACGCTCCCAAGCGCAAGCGCGGCCGCAAGCCGAAGCCGCCGGCCGCCGCCGCCGCCCCCGACAACGGCACCCACGACTCCGCCCCCTCGCCGAAGCCCAAGCGCGGCCGCAAGCCGAAGCCGCCGGCCGCCGCCTCCCCTGACAACGACCACCCCTCGTCCCCCCTCGCCGCCGCCGCCGACACCCCCGAGCCAGGTTCCTCCTCCGGGCCCCGCGGCCGCCGCAAATCCCGACGCGGCCGCCACGAGCTCCCGTCAGATGCCGACGCCGCCCTCCGCGCGCCCCCCTCCCCGACGCGGCGCGGCGCGTCCAAGGGGGCGGCCAACATGAAGGTAGAGGTCCCGGCGGTGGAGCCGTTGCGGTGGGAGCAGGTGGCGAAGGTGATGCCCTCCATGGATGCCGTGGTAAAGGTCTTCTGCGTGCACACGGAGCCGAACTTCTCAATGCCATGGCAGCGCAAGAGGCAATACAGCTCCAGCAGCAGCGGGTTCATCATTGGGGGGCGCAGGGTGCTCACCAACGCCCACTCCGTCGAGCACTACACCCAAGTCAAGCTCAAGAAGCGCGGCTCAGACACCAAGTACCTCGCCACCGTCCTTGCCATTGGCAACGAATGCGACATTGGTATGCATGCCCATACCTGCTTCTTTTATCTGTTTTAGACTGCACAATATTGTGAACTTGACAAACTTATAAGAGTTCTCTGGTTGTGAATTATCTGTTACGATCGCATATGGGCTTCTTGCACTGTCTAAGGAATGCCAATTTTTGTGGAATTAGGTAGTCTAATTTAGTACCACCATTCCATTATGTGCTTTTGCAATTACAGAAATGCACTACACACTGCAGAGTTGGCAAAATTCGACTTTTGTGGAACACGCAGATTATTAATGTTTTGTTCTCTGCAAATCGGAACATGCTTATACCAGAATAGGTTATCTTGTTTAATGTTGTGAACTCTGTATGTGTACTCTAAACAGAAAGGTGGGAGAGAGCCACTGTTTTGGTGGATTTGGATCATAATATTGTTTTCAAACCGGGGTCAATCTAGACTAAACTGGCTGCTTGTCAAGCTTATGCCGGAAGCCTTCAGGTAGTATTAACATGTTTACAAGACTATATGAACTCACTAATATGCTGTAAAATTGAAGAAAAAGTTATTAAATCTCATCTTTAATCTTTACCCACTCATTTTAATCCGGGGCTTCAGTTTTGCTCCTAAATGTGCTGCATGATGCTGTCATGTACTTGAGCAGTGCAATCCCATAAGACTAGTTTTAGCAGCCAAGGATTGTTATTGTCGTAAACATACTTATGTTCTCAGAAACTGCTTGGATATGTGGATTATTGTGAGTATTATCTTGAAATGGAGGGCATAGTATAACAGAAGTAGTATGGAGACACATGTTGGGTAAGTTGGAGGATGACTCGACAAACAATAAAGGGAAATAAGCTAGACTGGACTAAGCATTCTGCATTCATGCAGTCATTGTCAAGTTTGCACCTTTCTCTAACAAACGAAGCTATTGATTAATGAGCTCAAGGAGCAACTTCCTTACATGATTTGATAATCACAACCGACCTTTCCAATTTTTCATTTCAGCAATGTTAACCGTTGATGATGATGAATTCTGGAAAGGAGTTCTGCCGCTGGAGTTTGGATTGCTGCCAGCACTTCAGGATGCTGTCACCGTTGTTGGTTATCCTATTGGAGGAGATACAATTTCTGTGACAAGTGGTGTAGTATCTAGGATAGAAATCCTCTCATATGTTCATGGTTCTACAGAACTTCTTGGACTACAGGTATATTTTTCCAGGCAATTTGCATGCTTTAGTTGTCTTTGTTTGTCTGTATGTTGTTTTTGTAATAAAATGGAATTATAATTAGCCCTCTTTATGAATACCTGTAACCTTGGTTGTTACTTATGAACAGATAGATGCAGCTATAAATTCAGGAAACTCGGGGGGCCCTGCTTTTAATGATCAGGGAAAATGCGTTGGTATAGCTTTTCAATCTCTTAAGCACGAAGATGCAGAAAACATAGGCTATGTTATACCCACCCCGGTTATTAAGCACTTCATTCAAGACTATGAGAAATCTGGAGAGTACACAGGTAACTCTTATTCTGTAGTTGCTTATGCTTTAAGTCTTGTAAACCATGTTTAAGGTGTATCTTAATGGTGCATGAATGAAAAGGGTTTATGCCGGAACATCTTGTGTAGACATGTATGTAAATATATTTTGATTTCATTACTATTTGCAAAAGCAGTCTGTTTATTTTAATAACTTCTGTCTTAAGTCTCACTTTCTTCTATGAGTTCTATCAGCTTCCATGTAATTATCATTGCAAAAAGACTCGTGTGATTGTTATCCTTATCGGTTATAAGTTCCTCATCCGATATGCATGGTCTAGAATTTTCAGTGTTGACCACAATTTACAGATTAACAAACTGTTATTTCAGGGAAACAGTGTCTTAACCGTACTATAGAATTTCAGTGAGCTTTGAAGTCATATTTTGAACACTATGCAGCATGCACAGTTGGTGTTTTTAACACTGACTCCCTCTGTAAAGAAATATAAGATCACTAATATAGTGATCTAAAAGATCTTATATTTTTTTACAGAGGGAGTAGAATGCAACCTCTTGAGGTGTGAAAGTGATGTGATTCATTCATTGTTTTGTTAGCACTGTCAAATGTTTGCTAAAAACTGTCAATTTTGCAAATAATTCACTAATACAAGGGGACATATGATTTTTTCCACTGGAAATGTTCCTCTTTTGTTTCGATACACTTCCTTTAGGCTCATTTTTTAATTTTGCGGTTGATGTCAGTCAAAGTGGTCGATAGGTTTGTCCAACATTGAGATGCTAATTTTTGACCCAAATGACTAAAGTAACCTAGCAGATGTGGCCGGGACTAGTGATGGAGACGGACCGGGTAGTGCCCTTCCCATTTTCATTTACGTATTTTATTAGCCAAAACTACAAACGGGAATATGATATTGTTGGATGTTATCTGATTATTATAAATAAGAAACTGAATATTTATCTAATGCATTCAGATGCGAGTATCCTATAAAATACTCTGCTTATAGGCAAGAATGTAAAATTACCAACTACATGTGGTAGAGCTTGTTTCGTTTGTTCCCAATGAAGTGCTTGTGCTTGGCTAAACTGGTGTAACAAAACTCGGTGCTCAAATTGGCTTCACAGTTTTCATCCACGTTTGGCTCCACAACAATGAACTTAAGAGCCAAAGTCGAAGGAGCTTACCAGAACCATAGAGAAGTCTGGTGAATGTTAGGTAAAACTTTGTCTGTCAGGGGCATGAAACTTAAGCAGCCCCTTAGTTCTTCTTCCTTTGACGCTGTTTGTGTTCACCTGGAAATTATTCTTATGCACTGCATGTCATCACATGTGCTCCTGGTGCACATCGTACCTGCATTGCCTGTATGAGTAGCTTAAACGATATTTTAAATTCAATGCTGAACATAGTCAATCGTACCTGCATTGCCAGTCTGAGTACCCCATGCAATCTGGTGTGCTTTTTGTTCTCTTATAACCTCATCAATCTTTTGATGGATGGAGGGCTTGCTTTTGTTAAAAAAAAGTTCTGTGCTAATTATTTCTCTTGTATTAATATCCATTTTATAATTGGTATACCTGGTAGATGTGTTTTTGACATGTATAATCTTCTTTGTTTTGCATCCAACTAGCTTACCGTTTGCCTGCATTCCCCTGCCAGGTTTCCCTATACTTGGGATAGAGTGGCAGAAAATGGAAAATCCCGATCTCCGCAAGGCAATGGGAATGAAATCTGACCAAAAGGGTGTTCGTATCAGAAGAATTGAACCAACTGCTCCTGAATCTGGATGCATGCAACCTTCTGATATTATTCTTAGCTTTGATGGTATTGACATCGCCAACGATGGCACAGGTTTGTTATAACTTCTGTCGTACTTTATACATGTATCTACGTATTATCATGCATTCTTGATCACTTCATGGATCATGTCATATTTTGGCACAGGTTTGTTATAGCTTCTGTCATAGTTTATACATGTATCTGATACCACTTACCAGTAGTTCCCCAGTTGATTTGAGTAAATATCACTAATCTGATTACTAGTGTTTTATGCAAATACAACTGTCGGATAATATGAATAAAAGTCCACCTTTTGGCCCCAAATTCATCAAAAGTTCACTTTTGGCGGCCGAACTCACAAGACAAGATTTGCTGCCTCGAACTACGAAATCCACCCGTTTTTTCACCCTCAGGTGGTTTTGCAAGTGATATTGGCTGATGTGGGTGCCATGTGTCCACCGCATCACTGCCGTGCCATTCCCATGTCACGGTGTTTCTGTTATTGATCTTCTCGACCAATGTTTCTTCCATTTCTGGCATTTTTTTGGAAGCTTTTTTTCTGATTGAATGGCGGAGTTTGTTTTTTAGACTGTTTTCTGTTGTAGTGTTTCTTTACTTATGGTAGTGGTATTGTGGATAGTGGCATGCATGTCACCGAAGATTACTTGTGACACCAGCCAAGGGTGAAACAGACGGGTTCAATAGTTTGAGGTTGCAATTCAAACAGTTTTAGATTTTAAGGTAGAGAAGGTATCTCTTGCCAAAGTTCAGGTTGGAAAGTAGTTTTTTCTCATGGATTTTTGAGCAGTAATGAGAATACTGGAGTAAGTATACTCAGATGTTTTCATTCGATTAAAATACACAATTGGACGTTTCCCAGATAGAGTCCTTCTTATCAGTCAAGGAAAATGCTTCCACTTGCTTACTTTTTATTTTCTTGGTCACCCAGTCCCATTCAGGCATGGAGAGCGCATTGGCTTCAGTTACCTAGTTTCACAGAAGTATACTGGTGAGAAGGCACGTGTCAAAGTTCTCCGGAATTCGAAAATTCATGAATTCAACATAAAGCTCTCAATCCACAAAAAGCTCATTCCAGCTCATATAAAGGGCAGGCCACCGTCGTACTACATTGTTGCAGGCTTTGTTTTTATGGTTGTATCTGTTCCATATCTTCGATCTGAGGTATGTTATCTTTGCCCTCTCTCCTCTGCCCTAGGCATGAAATAGTAACCAAAATATTATATTCTTGTTTCGTTGTCTCCGTTGACACACTTCAGGGGAAATGATGCTTTGCAGAAGATATTCTTAATTATGGAAATTTGTTAGAATCTTTGGAAGTTGCTATCTTGTTTTGTTTGAAAAAATAAAAATAGTTATATACATGCTTATTCTGTATGTGCGCCGAGCCTTGACAACTATTTGTGTCCTTTTCTAATGTAGCGAATTGCCATGTATGCTTGTAATGCTTGAACAATGAACATGATGTCATGATTGCACTGATTATCTTGTTTGTGCTCTGTATGCAACAAATATAATCACCTGAACTACATTATTGAAAAGTTGGTCTCTTTGTCGATGGAATGTGACTTGCTTGTCCCAAGTTGTTTTTAAAGTGTTTCATATGGTAACCTGGAAGCACTATACTTTGAATTTTGAATGGTGTCCTTGCCCACCATAATTGTGCCTGAATCCTACTCCCTTCGTCCAGAATTAGTTGTCGCTCAAACGGATGTATGCGCTAGATACATCCGTTTGAGTGACAACTAATTCCGGACGGAGGAAGTACTTCTAAAGTATATTTCCTCTGGATTTTGCAGTTTTTGAATTCGCTTAAATTTTTTTATGGTAGTAATTTCGATTGAAAACTAACTAGAATGCTTGATGATCAGTATGGAAAAGATTACGAATTTGATGCCCCCGTCAAGTTGTTGGACAAGCATTTACATGCAATGGCGCAATCACCTGATGAGCAGCTTGTGGTGGTCTCACAGGTCAAGTCCTTTCTCTTAACCAACTTTGAAAGTTTTTATGCTATGTCGCACAAGCCCATCCATCTTGCTTTGCGTTAAAGCTTGATAGAATTACCATTTGACACCAATTTTATGATCTTGCAGGTGCTTGTGGCAGATATCAATATTGGTTATGAAGAACTAGTCAATACTCAGGTAGTTATGGGCGATCCTATGTGGATATTCCTAGTTTTGCGTTTTGATTTTTCAAAGTTTTGTCTACATATGCAGTTACAGAATTAAATCCATGTGGCTGTACTCACATGAAATATTATTGTCTTGCTGCATCAATTTATCCTTAGCACTCCCTCTATGCCAGTTTCTCTTGCATGTCAGTTACACTATTTAAACTCTGACTATTTGTATAATTTTAACTTGTAAGCATTAAGATTGGACATGAGAAAATGGTATGAAAATGGTTGTTGTCTTAAAAGTAAGAACATATTTTTGGAAGTTTTGCTAGTATAACAAGAATATTAGCAGTCAAGGTAAGAGGAATGCTGTTCTTTCTGAAGTGGAATGATTGCACACGTGGCTTTCCGCCAAATTGTAGCATCGGTACTAAATATAGTGGACATTCTTAGTTTACATGCCATTCTCCAAGGCATGTAGTAAACTTAACATTCTTTTTTTAGCCGTTCCCTTATTCAATTGTATTATCTCCCTTTTTTTTAATAATATAGGTTCGTGCGTTCAATGGGAAAGCAGTAAATAATTTGAAGCAGCTGGCGACCATGGTGGAAGATTGCAAGGAGGAGTTCTTGAAGTTTGACATGGATTACGACCAGGTAGTCAAACTGCCACCTATTTATTTTTTTGAACTGAACTGCCACCTATTTATAACGTTCTGTTCAATGTTGAGCGTGCTGGGAAGTAACCTTCGGATGATTTGGCAGGTTGTTGTTCTCGAGACGAAAACAGCTAGGGCTGCTACTCAGGACATTCTAACGACACATTGCATACCTTCAGCGATGTCAGATGACCTGAAGGCCTGAGTAAAAGCAGGGTGGTTGCCGATACCACTAATATTGGGCGAACCTATTGGCACACAGTTTCAGTTGGATTATACAATGCCATCTGCACGAGAAACCCCTCTGCAGCAATGAGTGCCGCTGAAGTTTTGGACGTGGAAGAGCATTATGGTTCGGCAAAAGGCGAATGGTGGCAAACACCGAATCCTCAGTGGCTAGGTTGAAAATGCGTGCGGCACCGAGCAATTGAGAAACCTGTAGAATAGCAAGAATCGAAGTTTTGTTCTCATTTGATTTATTGAATCAATACCAGAAAACTCATTGCATTTGCTTATCCGTATCCGCATCGTCACGTTTGCCATGATATATTCACTTTAAACCTCAGCAAACTTTTACTCCGCTGGCGATACTTTTCTTGGTACCAATTATTTGCTTTTCTGGAGTACTCGTGTGTCTTTTTCTACCAAAGTTTTGTTTTGGTGGTTGTCGTGTCTGTTGCTTGTAAAGAGAGCTTGGCTTCGAGCACAAGTGATAGGTCTGGTGCAGTTTTGGACCCTCGTCGACGGCGATGCGTGTTTTTGACGAGCCTTTTTCCTTGGTCATCCCTTCCCGTGGAAGCAAATCCGCCATACCTACTTGCCATGATTCTGGTAGGTGTACTGTATGATCTCCATCCCTTTCGTTCCAGAGTTGAGTCGATCCAGTCTGTGCAAATGTTGGCAGTGAATGAAATGCTTCATCACAACAGCTGGTATCCATACGGCCGGGACCATATATCAAATTTATACGAGGCTGAAGCACAGAGGTTGACAGGTATGGTGCAATTTTGTCCTGCAAAGAATCTGACCAAAAACAGCCCTTGGTCACTGTTTCCCTTTCCCGTGACAATAGACAAATCTAGTCCCTTTTTAAAACTCTAGCACACAATAAACTGGATACATTTTTTTCTTCATAAAATGACCGACGCCCTGGGCCGAGGCGTCGCATGCTAGATAACATGGCTCCCTAGATGCCAAGAGCGCCATGACCCCTAGCCCCGGGTGCCATGGCGCCCCGGCCTAGGACGTCATGCTATCTGGCAATGACACCCTAGCCTCACGTGTCATGCAAATAGGTCATTTTATGAAATATTTTTGAATCGGGTTATTTTGCGCTAAAGTTTCGAAAAAGGGCCAGGCCTGTCCATTCTCACGCCTTTTCCCTTCAGGATACTACGACCTTCGACGGTGTGACTGACAGGTGGTGGCAGCACCGCGGCCTGCCACAGCACCATGCCCGTTTGATGTGCAGGAGCATCACATGGCATGCCAAAGCAGGCGTACGTGCGCGCCGGCGGCATGTGACGCTGCTGCCAAACGCGCACCGCCACCGGCCACCGGCCACGACGCACGCACGTACCTGTCCTGCAGCCGTTGCCATGCATGCGGTTGCAGTCAAATTAGGCGCCGACCACGCCGGAGGCCGGAGCTACGTGCAGCCCTGCTGCCACTCCAACGTCAACGTCACATGCAGCAATGCAAGAGATCGACAACACAATTGTGAATGAAAAACATCTATCTATGGTTGGGTTGCAAGATTTGCCCAAACGTCAAGATCTCCAGGCCGGGTTTATTTGACACGACATGAATGGCACGTCGCAGCTGTTTATTGAGTCAAAAATGAGTACTAAGAGCACTCCTGAGTGGGCTTCTCTATTAACCACGCCATGAATAAAAAAACTACTCCCTCCGTCGCATAATATAAGAGCGTTTGACACTAGAGTATTTCTTGGGAAAAAAAGGACGCACACCAGGCAGCACGACTCATAATTTCCCCCCTAAAAAGCGCACGACGCATAATCAATTACATAATCCAACTCGTGGATCCAGGTGCGACCGAGTAGGCCGCAGCATCTGAAGCAGAGCACGGCATCAGTCACCACAGCAAAACTGCAAAAATAAAAGAGAGAGTGGAGAAGGATGTGACGGTGACCCGTCCCTTCCCTTTGCCTCTCCCTCTTCAACTCCCCTTTGCCAAGAAGCCACCACGGCACCAGACGCACAACCCAAGAACGAACAAAACCAACCAACCCCTCACTCACTGAAACTCCTCAAGTCCCCCGTTCCTCTGCTCGCTCTGCTACTGCTAGCCCTTCCTTGTCGTCGAGTTAGCCGGCCGGCATGGCGTCCAGCGCCTCCCGGTTCATCAAGTGCGTCACGGTCGGCGACGGCGCCGTCGGCAAGACCTGCATGCTCATCTGCTACACCAGCAACAAGTTCCCCACTGTAATGCCCACAACCCACAGCCTCCTCCCTCTCTCTGTCTTCGGGGTACAAATTGTCGGGCTCTCTTGGGTTCAAGGAAACACCAGGGCTCAGGATCCCCCCCATTTGCATCCTGGTCCGGTTTGATAGATTCGCTCTTGCCGTTCTTGAACCACCCGGGGGGCTCTGGTGTGGTGTCTCTGTCAACAATTTTGAAATCATTGCTAAAATTTCACACCCGAGAGTAAATATTCTGGCAGGTTTTGAACTTCTGTTTTGCTTGTGCTGGGCCTTTTTTTACAGGACTACGTACCAACCGTGTTCGACAATTTCAGCGCAAACGTGGTGGTGGACGGCACCACCGTGAACCTGGGCCTCTGGGACACTGCAGGTTACTTATTTATTTATGCTGCCTGTTTTGTTTCGCTGTTTTTTTTTTTAAAGAATCGTTTCGCTGTTCCACATTTGCAGTTTCCTTTTATGTCTTGCACTACGTATAGTTATTACATCACTCTTTGGAAGCTGCCACAGGATTTTATTGGCGGTCTTATTGTGTGGAGTTGGATTTGTTCACAGGGCAGGAGGATTACAACAGATTGCGACCGCTGAGCTACCGGGGAGCCGACGCCTTCGTGCTCGCCTTCTCGCTCGTCAGCCGCGCCAGCTATGAGAATATCATGAAGAAGGTGCGTATCTATTCTACACCAGTACTAGTAGTTCTATACCATCTTGGATCGATGGTTTAAGCTAGTATTCAGTTGGTTTTATCGTGTGCTTATTTATTCTCCCTTTCAGTGGCTACCGGAGCTTCAGCACCATGCACCCAGCGTGCCGATAGTGTTGGTTGGTACAAAATATGGTGAGTTGTGTGACTGTCAAGGGAAGCACTTTTTCCCATTTGGTTGCATATCTGTCCGTGATACTATATGGTTTGTACATTGCTGCCTAGTTGGTAGCGGCTAGGATCTTGTTTGTCTTTTCGTTGTTGGAAGTTGGAACTATGCTTGCCTTCCTTGTGATGTTTCCTGGACTGTGGTCAATAATAATTATTGTAGTACATGTTTAAATGCTACTCCCTCCGTAAAGAAATATAAGAGCGTTTAGATCATTAAATCTAAATGCTCTTATATTTCTTTACGGAGGGAGTACCAAAAGTAAAGGATAAATGATAGTTCAATGTTTGGAGCAAATGAATATGTTACTCAGTTTGTTGTCAGGCTCAGCAATCAGTGGCCCAGAAGACAATTTTTTTATGGATTAGTTCTTGCTTGAGAAGAGGGATAGTTTTCTCCTTGCGAATGGGTTGGCATAAGAAAATAATACTCCTTCGATCAACTGTCGCTGATTTAGTACTCGACAGATTATCTAATTTTTCAAAACACACACACACACTGAAGTGATAGCTTCTAGGATTACACGAAGCAAGGAAACAATCTGGATTTCTGTTTTCTATTTTTGCTCCGGCCGAGATTTTGAAAATTTAAGCAACTTCAGAATATACTGCCCAGATGAGTTGACCGTCAAGGCGTCAAGTTTCAAGTGGTTGCTCAAAGGATGAGTTTTCCCCTTACGCTGATTTCCATATATGCCCGTCAAGCGGTAGCATTCAAAGATGATTATGCAGTGTTAACAATGTGACACATAGGCTGACTGATCAGGCAGGATAAACTTTCCTTAAAGATCTGAACTTGTTTCCTGCAAATACTGATCTTTCTTATATGGAAATTACTTAGCAATTATTTGTTGTATTTTAAAATGCAGTGCCTGCAATCATTTTTTTTAAATCTTGCCTGCAAATCATATGTTGCAAACCTTTTAGTTTTGACCATAGCTTTTGTCAAAATCACTATGTTGCTTGCATACAGATCTCCGTGAAGACAAACAATACTTACTTGACCATCCTGGCGTGGTGCCTGTTACTACAGCTCAGGTGTATATTATCCCCGGTCCCCACAATGCTTACCTGAAGGATGGAAAATGTTAACAGTTGGCGTTTGATCTCTTCAAATCTACCATGTGAAATCAACACACTCCATCATCTCATGTTTGTCTACTCTTGCCTCCACCCTTACCTCGTAGGGGGAGGAACTCCGCAAGCACATCGGCGCAACCTGTTACGTCGAATGCAGCTCAAAGACACAGCAGGTTAATTTCTTTCATTGGCTCTCTGAGGGCTTGCATAAAATCTACTCGTATGTTATATTTTGGATGCATCCTTTGAATTCTCGATTCAATTATTGTTCAGAATGTCAAAGCTGTGTTTGATGCTGCCATCAAGGTAGTGATCAAGCCTCCAACAAAGCAGAGGGAAAGGAAGAAGAAGAAGGCACGGCAAGGATGTGCATCATTGTGAGTAAATATAACTTTGCTGTTGTTGTTTGCTCGCTCCATCTTTTTTATAAGATTGCACGTATGAAGCTTTTGTTGTTCTTCTTATTACTGGTGAAAGAGATTTGTTTTCAGTCAGCATCTACAATTGCTAATTTTTTCTTAAATAAATAAATCCGCAATTGCTGGATGTACTGAATTTTACCTAATAGGTTATGCATATTCGCCCGCCATTTAGTAAAACTGATCTGTTATCAATACCTAACAGAAGTAGGATGAGTTGATAGAATAGCCCACTCTTGAATGTTTAGGAAAGCCATAATAGTGGACTCTGAACTCCATGCACCTCATTTTCTAAACTGGACTGTAAGGAAAACAATGCGAATCGATTTCCAGAAGCATTTTTTGTTACAAAAATTCACTTGTAAAGACTGAAGCATTTTTTGTCGCACGCGGTTGCAGGGGTGCCCTGTCCAGAAGGAAACTGGCGTGCTTCAAGTGATCAAAGGTGTTCCATGGTGATCAGGGAGTTATTTGAGCAAGGCGAAAGCGGCACCTTGTGTAGTTCTTTATCTCGTGTTTTGCACTTTGCAGTGTGTATATCCCATGTTTTGTAATCGGCCAATCAACTACTAGAGCTAGATTACTATGGTGCATTGGTGCTTGAAACAAATTAGGAATGTTTTGGTACAGCTTGAGCAATGCCATCTTCCTTTCATTCCGAAAGAACCGCTTCCTTCTCCTGACACTGAATGCATCTTGTGATTCAGGAGTAGAATCATGTTTTTTTTTTGGCTGATATCAACTTCGATCATGGGCCGGTCACTCACAAAGTCACAATGCAACATACAGTGAACAAACAACTCCTGCCGCTGTCGCCTAGATCCCAAGCCCCCACGGCTTGCTCCTCCTCCTGCCAACCTAGCCCAGGTTCAGACATCATTGTTTCCCCCTGCCCCCGCCAGATGCTTCTCTGTAGTCGACACTCACATTGCTGCCCCTGCTTCCGACTTTTCCGCCTTGACCAAACCAAACGGTTGGTAACTAGAAAATTCGAGGTTAATTCGTCTGTTACTTTTTTTTCCGACAGAAGGCGCACGAGGCGCCAAGCCTTTTCATTTCAGCTCAGCAACAACGTACAACATGAATTACAAAGCCCTGAAATTGGAAATTAGAGAGAAGAGAAACTACAGGGCAAGTCATATTCCAATGAGCTGAAGCGAAACAACATATGTCAGGTTGTACCACTGATCTTAGAACCTGGTGAGCTGCATTGTGAGCAATACCATTTATCTTCCTAGAGATGTGAAAAACCTGGGACTGAAGATCTGAGGAGTAGCAGAAGAAATCAGCCAGAACTTTTCTAATAGTTCAAGGAGTAGTAGATTCCTTAATCTTTCGGCTAGCCGCCCATGACGCCAAAGACAGACTATCAGTAAGGAAAGTGGGCTGAGAAATGCATAGCCTTTTGGCCACTTGAGCTGCTAAAAGAAGGGACAAGGCTTCAGCTTGCAAAGGAGAATTTGTGATAATAGCAGAGGCTTGAATCTGTACATTAGCTTCCATCTGATCCTGCGGCAAGGATAGGTAAACACCAATACCAGTAGCAGGCAGCACCTTGTGGTAAACATGTGACTTTTTTGCACTGGAAAGCTGCATCAGAATATACTTTTGGCCCTGCTACTAGAAGGACAGACTTAATTGTTCTTCCCTGCAAAGGCATGTGATTAGTAGGACAGCAACGGTGTTCTTCCCCGTGGTTGTGGGCGCCGGAACAAGAAAAGCAGTATTCTTGAGGACCTACAAAGCAGAGCAGCTCATCGAAAGGGACGCGCACTCTCCCGCAGATTTTTGCGCTTGCCTTTTGCCTGCACACCGCAACCACCCTATCTTGATATACTGCCACCGGACAGCATCACTTGCACAAGGAAAATGACGCCGGTGAAGGTGTTCGGGCCGGCCGCGTCGACGAACGTGGCGAGGGTGCTCGTCTGCCTGGACCCTGGAGGAGGTGGGCGCCGAGTACGAGCTTGTCGACATCGACTTCCCCGGCAAGGGGCATAAGCGCCCTGAGCACCTCGCCAGGAATGTAAGCAGGATAAACACCTCACACCTCAGTTCGCCTCCTCCTTTTCTGTCATATTACTTCGTCGGCTGCTAGACTTCAGAGTGCTGACAGGCCACTCAAACTTTGGTGCCTTCTTGCAGCCGTTTGGGCAGGTCCCAGCTTTACAAGATGGCGATCTCGTCCTCTTCGGTGAGCTGTCTAGTTAAATTTCTTTGGACCTTCATATATTTGTTTGACTCACTACCCGCAAGCAAATCAAGATTCCTACAACACAACTTGCTTGAGTAAATCGAACAACTGTAGGCTTGGTTTCATATTTTTACTCATGACTCATGTTTACTAATTTCTTCATCTTTTCTAGAGTCCCGCGCCATTGCTAAATGCGTGCTTCGCAAATACAAGTCGGAGCAAGTGGACTTGTTGAGGGAGGGCAATCTGGAGGAAGCTGCCCTGGTAGACATATGGACGGAGGTCGAAGCACACCAATACCACCCGGCCCTCTCACCGATCGTGCTGGAGTGCTTCATATACCCGACCTTGCGCGGTCTTCCCACGAATCAAAGGATTGTGGATGAAAGCTTGGAGAAGGCGAAGAAGGTTCTAGAAATCTACGAAGCCCGCCTGTCCAAACACAAGTATTTAGCCGGTGATTTCGTCAGCTTTGCAGATCTGAACCATTTCGCGTGTACTTTCTACCTCATGGATGCTACGCCTTATGCGTCTCTGTTCGACTCCTACCCTCATGTGAAAGCGTGGTGGGACGATCTGATGTCCAGACCGTCCATGAAGAAGCTCGGTGCAGGTATGACCACCAGGGTTTAGCTTCAAGCAATTGCATGAATCATATGCTGCTTCTGGTTTTGAGTTTCTTCTCCTCTGCTTTGTGGCAACATGGAATAATTTGAAGGTCCACTTATGTAATCCCACACCTTCGGTCGGCACTCAATCTTCACAAACTATACTTTGTATGACTCGGTTCGCCTTCCAGTTTGTTTATCACTGTTCAAATCTATGTTATGAAATTCAGTAAAAACATTGATGCGTGTATCGAATGTGTAGAATATTACAAGCACAACATGGATTGCATACGTCTTTGCATACTTTATATGACCATCCTATATACAACAACTTTTTTAAACCCTGTACAAGAACTGCTATACATCGTCAGAACATAATAAGAGGTTCACTGTGTAGTCGTCTCTCGTCTGGCAGCTGGTGTGGTCTGGAGTTGGCCTTGAGCACATAATTATAAGAGGGCATCGGTAAAAGAAAAGCACAAAAAAAGGAAAAGGCATTGGTTGCCTGAAACCCGAGGAGTGTGTGCACTCCACTGTTTTTCTTGGAACGCTGCTCTGTTTCGTCCCCGGTCTGACAGCACTTCGTGTGCAGTTGAGATTTGAGAGGGACACAAATATGTGCCTAACAGTTGCGTTTGCAGATCAGCATGGCGTGGACCCGCTTACTAGCAAGTACTCCCTCTGTTCCTAAATATAATTCTTTGTAGAGATTTCACTATGGACTACATACGGAGCAAAATGAATGAATCTACACTCTAAAATGCATCTATATACATCCGTATGTAGTCCATAGTGGAATCTCTACAAAGACTCTATAAACTTCATTGGATTTGTACAAGGGCTTTCCCTCACTGTTGCAATGCATGTTCTACCCAATGCGACTCATTTGGACGTGATGACAGATACCTGAAACAAAAAGAACAATCTTAGATGCATACAAGTGCCTTTGGGTTACAAATTGCCGCGCACAGTTTTGGACCAAGGTATCGTTTTGCAAGAATGAGAGAACAATGTAAACAGAAGAGGGTATATATAGTTATATACCTCATTTGAAGACAACCTAAGCATTCAGGGCATGGATCTGCCAACTGATCTATTTGGAATTGCTTCAACCAAATTCCAGTCAGCGCCTCCGCTTAACAAGTCCTCCTCCAAGTTGGGGCAGTCTCTGATATGTAGTTCCTCCAGGGCTGGGAGTTGCTGCAGGAGTCCCTCCGGTAGTGTCTCTATCATTGGGCACCACTCCATCACCAACGTCCTGAGTGCAGTGACTCCGTACATTCCATCAGAAAATGTCGTCAAGGCGTTGCAATCTGACAACCTGAGATCTCTCAGGTTTTTGACGTTCCCAAGAATTGTTGGCATGGACCCCAGCTTGGGACAAAAATCAATGCTCAATTTTTCGAGAGATGCAGGCAGTTTTGGTACCTCAACCAAACTTAGACAGAATTCAATTTCTAGATGCTGGAGCTGAGGAGGTATGACATTTTCATCATCGGATATTGTTGATGGAAGTGAACCAGTTAAGTTGGAACAAAAAGATAAGTGTAGAAGTCGAAGAAGGTTCAAGTTTCTGATTTCAACTACTGGCCATTGCACTATATTATTGCAGGCTGTAATTCGCATACTTTCAACAAAACCAAAATGATTCCATATATTTTGTTGTATTTGGGATGGTTCAGGTGAAAAAAGACAGCCGCAATCTGTTATATCCAGATCTTTAATAAATCTGCAAGGCATTCTGTACAATTCCTCTTCAAAACGCCCTACATTGTCCATCAAACCCTTGAGCCTCAGTCTCATATAAGAATCACCAAGCCTCAACAAATGAAAGTCACCAATAGGCAGCCAGCCAACTCTAGGTTCCACTGAGATGTTGGCTTTGCATTCAAGATTAAACTGCACAAACAGACCCATCAGATGGTAAAGGGGGATGTGTCTTGCATCTATCACTAGTAGATCTTCAAGCAATGGGAGCATCTTGGGCATGCTTGCTAGCATTGGGCACGCGGAAATGTTTAGCTTCTTGAGCCGAGGGAACAGTACGACCGCTACTTGTCCTGCCTCTTCCTGGTGCCATCTCTGTAGCTTGGGCATGTTAGCAACTATCATGGTTTCCAATTTAGGAAAGAAGGGTGGTGGAGAAATAAAGGATTCCCCATTGTCTATATCATCATTACCAACACATATACTTGCCAAGCTATGCAAACCTTTCAAACTCAAGTATTCGAGGGAGGGCAGCTGCCATAATGGTGGAAGATCCTTGCAGTTCTTGCATCCAGTCAGAGAAAGTTCACTAAGATGTTCTAACAGTGTAGAGTTGTGCATCCATGACGAGAATTTAGCACCCGTATAATTAGATAACACTAATACTTCAAGCCTTTTGGCGGGACGAAGAGCTTTTAATATTCCTTCTGCATCAGTATGTACTTCATATCCAACATGTGTGCCATAAGAAGTTGCATGTGCCCAATCGAGTGATAATCGTTTCAAATTATGTTTGCCAGACATATTGCTTTGTTTAGCATTTTCGGCACTATGAACTCTTCTTAGCTCAGTCAAAGAAAGAGCACCACCTAGATTCAAATCTTTCAGTTGATCAATTCCACGACCTCCATCACTCCCAATGACATAATTCGTCAGTGTTTGTAGAGAATTTAGCTGACCAATACTTTTTGGCATGCGCTCCAAACAACGACACCCAACGAGGAAGATGTGCCGAAGACTGCTCATATATCTCATGCCTTCTGGTAATTTATTGAGATTGTTACAACCGATGAGCTTCAGTGTTTGCAAGCTATACAACATAGAAGTGGCTTCAGGCAATGATGATACATCAGAATAAGAACAATCTAGATAGCGAAGATGCTTCAGGTTTGTCATATGTGTCATTGTTTGGAATGTCCTCAATGCTCGTAAAGAGAAGAATTTTGACTTGGCCCTACTTCGATGACTCAGTCCTGATTTCATTTGGACTAATATCGTGCGGGGTCGAGGAGCTAGAATTTCTAATGGACCATCAATATCGAGTGACAAATGTCGAGCCTCAAGCTCTAATGGACTAGCATATCGGCATCGCTGCAGAAGTATTTGATCTATTTGCACAATGGAGCAATCATTTCTGCTTACCAAGTCAGCAAGATCATGCATGAGATCATGCATCTTGCAAGTGGTTGGTCTGTGGATGAACTCATCAAAACTAGAGAGCAAAGTCTTTTGAATATTCAAATCTTGGAGGAAACATCTCCAAACTAGCACATCAAAAATTTGTTGGCCTCTTGTTTCTGACGCAATAAATTCATTTGCCATCCACAAATGAATTAACATGTCTTTATCCATCAAGCTATCCTTGGGGAAAATAGCACATAAAGAAAAACATATTTTTTCTTCCGATGACAAGTGATCATAGCTCAGCTGTAATGCAGGTACAATTCCGGTAGTTGTGAGGATATCATCCTTCCAGACATCACTATCCAGAACAGAAAACCATTGACTGTGATGCTTTGAATGAAGTAAAGCTGCTATGGTCTTGATAGCAAGAGGTAATCCCTTACACTTGTTCACAATATTCTTAGCCACTAAAATCAATTCCTCTTGCTTTTCCACTCCCCTTCCAAATGTGTTTCTATGAAAAAGCTCCCATGATTGATCTTCATCTAGAAGTGATATGTGATGTGGAGGAAGTGTGCCCGTGATAGAAGCAACTTGATTGCTGCGGCTTGTCACAATTATAGCACTACCCGAGCCAGCATGTGAGCATACCAATGATATCATATCATCCCACTTTTGTCTGTCCTCGTTCCAAACATCATCCAACACTAGGAGGTACCTTTTATTACCCAACACTTCAGTAAGTTCCTTCCGCAGTGCCTCTATATTGGTAAATTTAGATTTCTCCTTCGATGCCACTTGTATTATAGACCGTATTATTTCTTCGATGATGAACTTGTCAGAGACACAAACCCATATGACCAACTCAAAATGGTGCATCACTCTCTGATCATTGTGCACAAGTTGAGCAAGGGTGGTCTTACCAATTCCCCCCATACCAACTATTGGTAGCACCATCACATTATTATTATTTCCATCATTGTGGGCGTGGCCAAGCAATATCTTCACCACCTGTTCCTTCTCATCTTGTCTACCGACAATTTTCAATTCATCGACATGAGAGTGTGTTTGCGGATGAACAAGGGTTGGCACCTCAGCATGTTGTAGGAAGTGGAAATTATTCATCTCCACAACCAATTCATCTATCATTTCAAGGGAATCCTTAATCCTTTTGCCCATGGAGACGTGGAAAACAACCGGACTATTGAAGGTGTAGTAGTTCAGCACCTGAAATGAAAACAAATGAAATTGTTTTTTGGGGTTAAAGGTCAATAGGGGGCATTGGCCCACATAAAATATTTCCATTAACTCACATACACAACCAATAAGGTCCATACAGGGGGAGCACACAAGGCAGAAAGATTACACAGGGCAGAAGCCCAAGTTAAAGTCAGTACACAAAGAAAGAGAAAACTGAAAAGGAGGGAGAGGTTAGCGATCGTAGCCAACCGAACCACCCCGTGGAAGCCGACATCCCGAGGGATGGGCGCCAAATTGTAGAGAGGTGAGCCAGGGACGACAGGAAAAGATCTACCAAGCCAATACCACACCACAGACAACGGTGTGTTGTCCACATTGTCGGAAGGCAACTTGGAGCAAGCCTCTGGAAGGACATCTCTCAGCCTAAGTGAGGTTTGGTGTAAATAACACGTGATTAAGGGACTAATGAGTAATGACATGTCCCAGGTGTATGTTCAAGAATTAGTCCAATGAATATCAGCTAGTATTAAAAGGAGGCCCGGGACCCCCAGGCAGAAAAGCAGAACAGTGGTCAGCTAGTTTTAAATATCGCAATTAATCTTCATTATGATTGAGTGGTAGAGAAGCCGAGCTATTTAAAGGGGTTTTTGTGATGAGCTAAAGTGTGGAGTCAATATCTAAGATCATACTATATCTTTAAAGATCTTATATATCCACAACCTTGCTGAAGAAAAACCCTAAGAGAAAGCTAAGTGAGATGAAAAATAAGTCACGTTCTGATTGCCGACCTGAAGGTCACAGCCGAAGTCTCCGGTTGGAGCTCCTGACAAGTTTCAGACTCATGTGGAGGTTCAGTCCGGAACTCCCGAAGAGACTCCGAGTGGGACCCCAACCAGGTTCCAGAGCTACAGACTTGCCCAGAAGTTATGATTCCACCAAGCCAAACGTGAAACCCTCTTAAGTTTATTATGTTGCTTGTTACTCTTGGGATTTGGGAAGTACTTAGCTGGTTGGTGTTTTTTTTAGAAAAGGAGGATGACCCCCGGCCTCTGCATCTGGGCGATGCATACAGTCACTTTATTAATTATTCTCACAAGACCTTACAAAGCCATACAACAACAAGACTAAAGCCACCGTCTAAGCAACAACTGTCGCTACACCTATCCAATTGATGAAGGGGCGCAGATAGTCTGGGCCTAATACCAAACAGACAACGCAGCCAAACCTAAACATCTAAGACTTGAGGTCCCAACCAGGACGCCTGTCGGGTATGTGGCACCTACCAGTCCGGCACACTCCTCAACCAGGACGCCTGTCGGGTATGAGGCCGCCGCAGCCACCTGCCACCAATCCATCTTCAGTGCTGTACTACTGCATCAACCTTGTCCGATCTAACTGCCGTCGACGCCACCACGACGCCAGATAGCACCACCTCCGTGCGCGAGTTCATCTCCGCGCGTCGGACTCCGAATCTCCATAGCGCCACGCCGCCAAGATCCGCGCCATCCATGTATAAGATGAAGTACCACTTCACCAAAGAAACCGTCCTCTGTTCCCCGAGCCCATGTGTACCTCCATGAATGACGCCCCCAAGGAGGAAACGACACCAGAGCGCCGCCATCATCCGATCAACTGATCTAGGGTTTCCTCCGGAGGTAGCAGAGAGTGACCTTGAACTTCTCCACGGTGATGCCTTCAAGAAGGGAACGACACAGACAGCTCCGCCACCGCCGGCCTTTGCAGTAGTCAAAAACAAGTTTTCACTCAGATCTGTTCACTTCATCTCTCGTGCACGGGCCACCGCGTCCTGCGACGTCCCCGGGAGCGGGATCCCAAGATCCGCCGCCACCGGCGCCGCCACAAGGACCCACCACCCGACCGTCATCCTTGAAGGGGACGACGCCACCACCGTGCTCGGATCCGGCATCACGCCAACGCCTTCGGCCGCCCCCCCCCCCAATCAGATCGGTGAAGGAGGATAGCCAACGCGAGCGCCCACCACCGCTTAGGACCGCCGGACGGCGCCCGAGCCCGACCACCTGAAGGAGAACCGGTCTGGGGCGGGAAACCCCAGATCCGCCGCCGCCGGCCCCCGCAGCACCGTCGGGATCCCATCGGGCCGCCGCCCGAGCGCGCCAACTCCGCCTCCATGCTGTACGCCCAGGGACGCCGATGCATCTCAGCCAGAGGATCCCCTCGCGAAGAAAGGAGGAAGGCCCGCCGTCCGCCGTCCGCCGGGCGAGTTTCGCTCGCCAGCCTCCTTCGGCGGCGGCGGGGAAGAAGGGGAGGAGGGAGATGTGGGGTTTCCCAGAAGCTTCCAAAGTCGTGGATTGTGTTCCAGAAGTTTGTGAAGGTTCAGAGGCCGCCTTAAAGCCTACCACTAGATCGAGCTCGAGCTTTTGTCAGCCGAGGCTCAAAGTAGAAGACGAGACTTTGTATCATTAGGGATATCTTTGCGGTCCTATTTTTCGTGTTACTATGGTTAATGGACATGATTTGGTCTCCAACGGCGAACGATTCGGTTCCTACTTCCTGGTCTAGCGGCACACGACTCCCTAATCTCTTGCGTTAGATGCGCACATCTATGCGCAATACATGCAATACTACATAGACTCGTGAAATTGATCAATAGTACAAACTGTTTGCGACTATCTCCCTACAGTTGCATAACTACCCTCCGTAATAACACTGAAATTAGCCTGGCTTCCGTTTCCAATTTAAACCCCATCCAAGAAGGGAGGACTGGCCGGAAATCTGGGAAGAAGGTAGGATGAGGACGAACCTTGCGTGCGGTGGAGTGGGGACGGATCTGAGCGGCACGGCGGCGGAGCGCCTCGTAGCGGAAGTCGTCGAGGATGCCGTCGGCGTGGTAGACGGCAGTCTTGAGGTCCTTGACCCACCGGCAGACGGCGGGGTTGGTGCGGCTCTTGGCGTCGGCGTCCAGCAGGATGCACTGGATGGCCGCGAGGTGCTGCTCCAGCTTCCGACGGGCCTTGTCCAGGCCCCACGCGCGCAGAAGCTCGCGCACCAGCGTGTCGCCGACCTTGGCGGCGACGCTGCTCACCAACGGTATCAGCAGCGAACCCATGTCGGTCGGTCGCCGCCGGTGAGTTGGCTCGGTCGCAGGAATGGAAGAACCAATATGAAAAGTTGGTTGTTTGTCACTCGCACGCTGCGACGGAACGCGCTAAAACAGGGGCCATGTATATTGCGATTTCTCGGCCACGCAGATCCGTTGCTCCAGCTGCGACTTGAGTGACTTTCTCTTTCGCGGGGTGCCACTTGAGTGACTTGACGACCTTCGCCACGAAACTTATCCCACCACCATTCTGTATCTTGATGTATACATCGATCGGCATCCTCTGGACCCCGACGCAATAATAGGAGGTGGGTCTTGTATGGGCAATCTCATTCAGCGCCGCGCAAGCGAGATGGCATGAATATGGGACCAATACAAAAGTCCTATTCTGATCCCAAAATCTGAACATTCAAAAAAAATCTGAATATTTTTTGGTAACTTTGACAAATTTTTTGTATGCTTGCGAAATTTCAGCACGAAATGACATTCGTGGAAGGCGTGGCAAAAAAACAAAATCAGCACTTCAAAATGTTTTCAAAACTAGCATTTTTGGAACATCGATTTTCTGCCACACCTTCCATGAATGTCATTTCGTGCTAAAATTTTACAAGCATACAAAATATTTGTCAAAGTTTACCACAAAAAATTCAAATTGTTTTAATTTTTTTACTATTTTTTAGATTTTACTGTTCATGAGGGAGTATTCGAGCTCGGGAGCAGATACTCCGCTCTACTGGAATCTCGTTTGCGCCGAGTTCTGATATTTTACCGAGTAAATTTTATCAAGATCTCGACAAAGTTTCTATCCCCCAAGTTTGATTCTAATTTGGACTCGACAGTGATACAAAACTAGGCATTTTCACATTTTGCCTAGCTAGTACCAGCCAGAAAGAACTCGGCGAACTAAATTTAAAGGATATGTCACTCGTGACGCATTAAGATGAGTTAAAGCAAAACATGTAGCTATAATACATCTGTTAAAAATAAATGAAGTTCTATAAAAGTTGTGGTGGATTTTCCAACTTTCAGTAAAATATTTTATATGTAAAATAGTGGTCAATTTGTATCTGATAGACATTAACTTGTGGTGAAACTTCTCTAGCATTTAGTAAAATATTCATATGCGAAATAGTGGTCACATTTGCATCTCACGCACTTTCCATGTCTATTACGTATGTTAGAATGGGGTCATCACGCAATTTAGAGGGAAGTAAGAGTACCACTATTCATGAAAGGAGGAAGTAAATTAGATAAATAAGTATTTGTATACAGTAAAAAAATTCTTTTGTTTAGTTCATCTTTTTTCTAACAAGTACTCCATCAGAAAGATCATCTAAACATTACCGAGCCTTGCTCATAGGCATTTATAGTTTTACATCTAACCAACGTCCGCCAATCTTCATGTTAACTTGACAAATTATTGAGTAAACATTCACATAAACACTATTGGCTCGCTGGCGGCATGAGCTTGTTAATTATAAGCATTGATCTACTATCACGTGAAAATGACACATATAACCATTAATTGAGTGTGTTTGAAGGAAGTAATCATCATCAACCTACAATGAAAGATGATAGAATATATTACCCATACACGTCTTATTTCATTTGGCATCTTGACTAAGCCTTCCACTGTATAGTTAGGTAGGAGCATGCTGCAATTTATTTCTGAAGTTGGTGGGAGCACTTGTATACACTAGATGATAAAAATCACATTGCACAAGAAAATACCAGTTAATCTATACAAATTAACAGAATCCACATCTTTTTATGTTAATCTATACAAATACCACTCATTACACAAAGCGATGCCATTTCAATAACTTAGTATAGAGTATACACACATTGTCAATTTATTACTAGATTCATTGTAACTTGCAAGACACATTTGATCACAAAAAACTTCAAAGAATCATGTCAATGTTAATATTATAGTCTAGAAGTTATATGAATATGTTTATCTAATCATACACTAGAAACTGCTATTAAAATATTTATTGGATCGTACGCTTTAGAGATATTTGCAGGAAAGACTTATATACTGTATAGATTATGAGATTTTAAAAAGTTGATTTAAGAATGAACTTTTGTTATGAAATAAAGTTTAAATTAAGCACAATGTAGATGATTTTTTTTATGTTACATTGAATGCTTTTACCAGAATACTCAACTAGTACTTCGCAGAACTGCTAGATATTTGGTTAAGTATGTCAAATAAGTAACATCAAATTATAGTAATTAGTACTGTAATGCTAAAAGTAAGTTCTATATAAGTATAAAAGTTTAGTATAAATTAATACCGATGGGCAGTGTTGTTTAGCATAAATTAGTGATTCATGCGATCCCTTCGTCCCAGTCAATGGACTTGGGTGCGATCCCCAAACCGTAGTCGAATTGATTTTCAAAGATGTCCACAAAATTACGGGCTCATCTGTGGAGATCGTGCACAACAGCCATTGAGTTTCAGATATGTTGGTCGGACGCAATTGCTCGGGTACATGTGCAATCAGGTCACGTCGGCCGTAGTTCACGCACAGAGAGTAGGCATTGGTTGCCGCTGCTATGCTTAGTGCCATCAATCCCCTTCAACAGCTCTAGTAGCAGGACTTGCATAGAGGTGGGAACATTGGGTCCTGACAGACCAGAACGCCCCACGATAGCCAGGAAAATTGTCGTCCGACCCCGGTTCGTGGGCGACAACACCGGCCAGGGACATCGCATGGGTGGAATTGAGTAGCGCCAATGGCGGAAGATGAAACGCATAGCCTCGATGCTCCACCGGGACGGCACCAGACGGCCGGCAATCGCACACATGATTTCCTCTCTTAGTCAAGATAGATTAATTTTGTAAATCATCCCACTTTCCTACTCTTTTCCTATGGCTGCTTCCTCTGGCCCTTTGATCATAGGAGGAGACGAGTAGATAGAAGGGGGAGTGGGAGATGATTTTTTGAGGATGAGCCGCGCACGAGAGAAGGAGGGTTGACGGCCACGGAGTTTGATTTTGATCCACACGTGGTCTGAGCAGCGGTGGGTGATGGTCTGCAAGTGCACATGGATTAGTTGTAGCTTTTTCAAAGTAAGAGTATCGATTCCATAGGGAGCATAAGATTAAGTCTTTACCTCTAGGGTTTAAATAACAGTGGCTGCAAGTTAAATGCAGTCCAAAACAAAGTGGAGGCGAATACGAGTATTGAGTGATTGTCGCGAGCAGTGAAGTAAACTTGTGAAACTAAAATAGAGTGATGCAGCAAGTGGGCAACGGTTGTTGAAATCCATAGGAGTAAAGTGTTCCCAGGGAGCTGGATTCCCCACTAGTATGTGTTTACACGACCGATGCCTAAGCATAATGCTATGTCAAATTCCTAATCCACTTTATATGCTTCTATTTGTGGGCGGAGCCAAGTATAGATACTTGCATACATGTGACATCCCTGTATCACATACACCACTTCCATTCATCCCCACTCTGGTTACTGAATTACAATTAAGGGTTTCCCCATGAACGCGGCTAAAAGCGGTCTCTGTTTACCCCCTACTGCAGCGATCATAGACGAAGGGTACAAGCGTCGCGAGATGAATCATGATGAACATGGTGATAACACAAAAGTAATACAAGATTGGATCCACACCAACTACTATATTACAATGGATGGAGATGGAGTGGTGAGGATGAAGACGATGATGCCCTCTTGATGCGGTACTGTGGTCGTGGAGTCCTTGCGTCTATTCCCCCTCCGTATGCCTTCCAGAGGCTAGGGTTCTGTCTTCTGGCCGAGTTTTTGGAGTCTTTATGCGTTTGATCTCCAATTCGATTCCATGGGTGAAAGTATTTGACATAGGGGAAGCGCCAACACCTGGTATGACCGCTGGCATGATCACAAGCACTCGTACCACACGCCGTCTTGCACTCTAGAGGCGTCGCACGGCCTCTAACCTCTCCGAGGAACTTTATTCTTCTGTGGTAATAACAAATCACCTTTATTGACGTGATTTTATCACCATTTCCTAGAGTTCATTCCTTAGTACATCATTTGTTTCCAAAAACACATCCTGAAGAAAACCGACAAAAAGACATGCGCGAACGCGATAAAATCCCACAAAGCCTAATGTGTAGGCACAAAATTAAGATAAAAATATCACATATTTTGGACTCATCAACTCCCACAAGCTTAGAGGTTTGCTCGTCCCCCAGCAAATGCCACAACTTGTAAGATAGAGATCATCTTGATTATGAGATGCGGATAACGACAATGAATGAGTGCATCACAAGGTTCAAAAATCCATATCAGATAAATGATCATAACGAGTGTCGGTGTCAAAACCGGCGGATCTCGGGTAGGGGGTCCCGAACTGTGCGTCTAGGCGGATGGTAACAGGAGACAAGGGACACGATGTTTTTACCCAGGTTCGGGCCCTCTCGGTGGAGGTAAAACCCTACTCCTGCTTGATTAATATTGATGATATGGGTAGTACAAGAGTTGATCTACCACGAGATCGGAGAGGCTAAACCCTAGAATCTAGCCTATGGTATGATTGTTGTTGTATATGTCTATCGACTAGCCCGGCCCCGGTTTATATAATGCACCAGAGGCCTAGGATAACAAGAGTCCTAGCCGAATACGCCGGTGGGGGAGGAGTCCTTGTCTTGATCGCCAAGTCTTGTGGATTCTTCCTTGTATGCGGCAGCTGTCCGGACTGGCCCATGAGTATACGGCCATGGGGGTCCTCGGCCCAATCCAACTGATCGGGAGACGACGCGTTGAGTACCCCCTAGTCCAGGACACCGTCAGTAGCCCCCTGAACCGGTCTTCAAGTTAGGGACGCTCCTCGATTCTTCCGAACTGTTCTTCATCTTCGGTTGCCGGTCTTGAAAACTGGTTCAACAAATCTTCTCATCTTCTATCTTGAGGATCACCGAAATGCATTCGGCGAGTTTACACGTCGGGTATCCGAGGAGCCCCTTTAAGTTTCCGGCCTTTATCAAATGCCTTGTTATTTTTATGCCA